GGACACATCGAAGGAAAAACAAAATTGTTTGTTTTTCTATAATTTTCATATTTTTTCATCTTTTACACCTTCTCTGGACTTCCACGAATAATTCAAGACCATTAGCCAAATCGGCCCGGCCAAATCGGTCCGGCCGTTCTTTAGTGAGACTAACAAACAGCAATTAATTTATATATATACAGTCAAACCTGGATAAGCGAGAGTTCAAGGGAGCACAATCTCATTCTCGCTTATAGAGGTTTCTCACTAACCCGAATTTCTCGCTAATGCTCCCTCTGAATTTCATTTCGCGATTTTCCGGATTCAAACGCATTCACTATTTTAAATTTATCACTTAATGACAGTACTTTAATTTTCCGTTTTGACTTGATGCAGAACAGAACTTTCCTTCACAATTGATTAACGATAAGCTGAGTAAGTCCGACAAACAGGACGGTACAGTGGCACACGTGTCCACTCGAAAAGAATGCGACAATATAACAACGTTATTTAGTTCCGCAAAATAGAATAGGTTCAATATTGACGAGAAAACAATACAAAAACAATGGAGAAAGTTCCACACAAGTTAAGAATGAGTCATAAAATAGCAGATTTAAACTTGTAATTTGTTTTTTCATTTGATCCTCCTAAATAATGTAAATAAATAAAGCTCGACTGTCGCTTATAGAGGTATAGATAAGTAGCAGTCTCACTTACGGAGGTCCATGAGGGAAAAACGACTCTCTCTTACAGAGGTTTCTGTTTCTCGCTAATAGAGATTTTGGGAGCTTAAAATGACGGTTCCTGGCTATTATTACTCTCACTTATAGAGTTTTCTCACTTATCCAGTTCTCACTTACCCAGGTTTGACTGTATATAGAAGATAGAAGATAGATAGATAGAAGGTAGAAGATAGATAATCAGAACTACTACTAAATATTGTACTAGCTTATTGATAATATTGAAATTTTGATGAATAACACCTTCGTTCGTTCTGTGAACCACGAAAACTGAAAAGTATTCGAATTAAAAACGCGAGATTAAACCGTAAAAATAGTTTTAATTTTGTCTAAGACTCGCGGTGATAGAATAAAATACAATACAAAATACAAAAATTCTTACAAAAATTCTTTATTTTCAAAATAAAATTTTAGTATTTTGTAATTTTTGAATAAAATACTAATTCATATAAACACATATACAAATCCAATACAGCTTTTATGGAGCATACATGAAAATTATGCAAACTTGTAAGCCCTTGAACGTGAAATGCTTGGACAATATTGGTGCATTGAACTTTCATGTACGCTTTAAAAAATTCGTCTTTTATTAAAAACGCTGTTCAAGTGAATTCGTTTATTCGGCAATTTTTTTCCCCAACCCCTGACTAAATTGTTTTAGGGTGCGTTATCTATTTATGACAGACCCTTCATCTTACCAAGACGCGCGACAGTACTCACAATGAAAGTCACAGGTTGGGTAATTGTGGATACAAAATTTGTGATAATCATATTTATGTATCGAACGAGAAAAGTCTTTTTTATTTATTGCTTAGATGGGTGGACGAGCTCACAGCCCACCTGGTGTTAAGTGGTTACTGGAGCCCATAAACATCCACAACGTAAATGCGCCACACACCTTGAGATATAAGTTCTAAGGTCTCAAGTATAGTTACAACGGCTGCCCCACCCTTCAAACGCATTACTGCTTCACGGCAGAAATAGGCAGGGTGGTGGTACCCACCCGCGCGGACTCACAATAGGTCCTACCGCCAGTAATTACGCAAATTATAATTTTGCGGGTTTGATTTTTATTACACGATATTATTACTTCGACGTGGAAGTCAATCGTGAACATTTGTTGAGTACGTATTTCATTAGAAAAATTGGTACCCGCGTGAGATTCGAGCACCGGTGCATCGCTCAACACGAATGCTTCGGACATCTTCATTTACAGTTGGTCACCTGCTAATAAAGATTGTTCGTTTTTAATCCCGAGATGGATGAACTAATTCACGACCCACCTGGTTTTAAGTGATAACCGGAGCCCATGTAGATGTACAAGTATTACACACTAAAATTTGAGTACACAGTCTAAAATTTCATTCAGTATTCTCGAAATTGCTCAATAGCAAACGTAATGGAAACTCATTTTCATCATTTTCACTCAAGTGGTAACTTACTTAACAATTTATGTGGTAACTGGAGTCCATGTAGATGTACAAGCATTATCATACAGTACACTACACACTAAAATTTGAGTACACAGTCTAAAATTACATTCAGTATTCTCTAAAGCGCTCAATAACAAACTCACATTTTCATAGCTCTACATAGTATTGAATTTTCAAATAAATCTAAGAACGAAAACAACTCTATCTAATTTACGTTTATGTAATTCGTTTTCCCGAGAAGTTTCCCACTCGCTTGTTTTCCTTTAATCTCGTATAATGTGAGGGTATTAGTTGGAACGTAGGTGTGTCTAGTGTGGGTTTGAAAGTCATTGAACCCACCCGAGCAGTTCCACTGTCGATGTTACGTCAAACTTTTACTTGTATTAATTAATACGCGAGTAGTTTTTTTATTATTATTTATCATTATTGTTGTATTTTACGCAGAGAATATTATTATGTTTTAACATTACAATGTAATACATTGATGCAAGTTTTATTCGGTGAAAGTTTTGACATCAAATAATACGTGAAGCAAAAACTTTGCAACCCTTTTTACGAAAATTGCGCGGACGGAGGAGTATGAAATTTCCCACACTTATAGAGAATATAGAGAAGGAGTGCAGAATGCAAATTCTTTTTTATAATTATGCATAAAAAATACATTAAATTATTAAAAATAACATTACACACACTACCACACACACACGGATATGTATATTCTTTTGTTTATTGTATAAAGTCAAATTGAGAATAGGTTAATATTGTTTGTCTTCAATATAATTTATCTATAGTGTAGCCTTGGCGAAATCTGTGATTTAAGAAGTATAGTCAGCCGACTTAACCTAATAGGTATGGCTTTAATAAAGAATAAAAAAAAAAAGAAGTATAGTCTTTGATTAGATAGAATATATAATAGAATTATAATAATGTTCAAACTTATAATTTCAATTAATTATCGTTGAATTTCGAATACCGGGCGACCACTAGTATATTTGATGTCTAAGAAGGATAATTTTTAAATTGTTTGATGGAGCAACACAGTTCGAGTTATGTAGGTGCGTTGACCTTTCTTGGAAAACTTTTAGCTACAAATTACATTTGGTAAAATTTCAATCTCGTTGATTGCTCCATACAAGACTAGTATAGCTTGTTGTCATTCACGGTTTTATAAAGATTTCTTTGTTTTTTTATTGATAAACGCGATGTTGCTAATCTTAGTTGGTGACGGAGCATCAGTTTGTTGCATTGCCGATATTAATGAGCGCGATGACCACTCTACATCTGGCAGACCGAAAGCTCGCTTTCGAAAACAAAAAAAGGAGTACTTAGAATATACCGCGCTTATCGATAAGACAAATGAGCCTATGTTGGGGATTAGCGCCGAAATATAACGCGTAGGTAATTACTCTGGAATAATTAAATTGAAATATTTTTGTTGGGTCACATCCCTCGCGGTACTCCCTTCAGTCGGCTTCGCCCTTCACCGCGGGGCATCATTGACGACAGATAATAATTCGTCATCGCGTTCACCCTCGCCGATTTAAATCTCTGTATATTGCTCACTTTATTACTCGGTCGTTTGGACAATAGAATCGTATTGGCGATCCGTCAAGTAATTACCCGATGTTGTTTATGTATTTATTTATTGAGCCATATTTCATTATTTTATATTCGAATAAGTGAAATCGAATCGATTTATACAAGAAAAACTATTAGAGGTCGTTATCGGTTTAACTCTTAAGCCTAAGATAAGATGTATGATATGAACTGTAAAAATAAGAGAAAATAATTTTGTTTTAATTTTACTTTATTTTTAATAGTTGCGATGGGTCAACGAACTCACGGCCCTCTTAGGATTAAGTGATTACGGGACCCCGTAGACATTGTAACGTGGATGCTGCTACCTGCCTTGGGACTTGAGGTCAGCGTCTCAATTGCATAGTAATTACGCAAATTGTAATTTTTATGGAATTTTAATATTATTACGCGATAAAAAATTTCATCGTAGAAATTATTCATATTTATGAGTTAGTACGTACCTACTTATTTCATTAGAAAAACTTATACCTCTTAGCCGACTTAACCTAATAAGTGTATGGCTCTAATAAAGAATAATAATAAAAAGAACTTATGTTATACAATATAAATATATATTATACTAACCTGTCTACACTCATTACTGATTTGAATAGTCATAGTCGTATTGTTCGATGCTGGTACTACACAAGATTACACTTTAGACTTCGACAAATATTAATAAAGACAAACAATATTTAATCTATTCTCAATATGACCACAGACTATAAGCAATAAGAAAAGTTTGACAATAAACAAATAGTATGCATGCATGTGGGTGTCAAATGCATGGTAGTATGTAATATATTTTTTAATTGATTTCATGTATTTTTATGCATAATTAAAAAAAAATTAACATTCTGCGCTCCTTCTCTATATTCTCTACAAGTGTGGGAAATTTCATAATCCTTCGTTCGCGCAATTTTCGTAAGAAGGGGTACAAAGTTTTTGCTTCATGTACTAATTATACGAGATAACGACCGAGGTATGCTCGGTATTTTTTTGAAAAAATTGTGTTTTTTAGAAATTATATTTAAATAAATAAGTTGATTATTGAAAACACGAATAACAACAACATTTTCTGAAAATAAATCGTAGCTAGATCGATTTATCGCCCCCGAAATCCCCTGTATACTAAATTTTATGAAAATCGTTGGAGCCGTTTCCGAGATTCAGATTATATTTATATATAGGTACTTAGACAAAAGAATTCGAATCAACCACATAAAAATAGAAAAAATATATACCTAAAATAAAATGTTATTTTTTCCAGGTGATTCACGTTCGCTACAAATCGAAGGGGAGGCGTTTAACCACGCGGCAGAGTTGCTGCGTCGCTCGCCCGAGTTCACGGTGCTGACCTCACTCCGGCAAGAGCCCGCCAATTCTGGCACAATTATTTCTTTTTCACATGGATTCAACAGGTACACTAGTCGCTTTGTGTTACTCGATGTTAATAGTGCTTTTAGTACATATTTGTGTTATAATTTATATATTATATGAAATAAATATTATATCTAAGTTGAATGCTTAAATGCAAATGAGAATCATTGTGAAAATAATTGAAATATATTATGTATAGTATTAAATGACGGTAAAGCACAACAAAATGGTTGTGTTAATGTTACTCTGAACCCTTTTAAATTTTATTCTAATTCATAAGATCATAATAAGATCGAAGAATCACAATAAGATCATAAACGATTCCTGTCGAAAATACGTATTTATCTCATTGTTTCTATTTATTCGGATAAACAACAAATTAAAAATTAAATAGCAAATTTTGAAATAGTTTCAAGTTTATTAATTCGTTGATGGTAAAAAGGCCTGCAACATGAAGCCCTGTAAGAACAGCAAAGGCGAAGATGGCGTGACGGCGGCGGGACGTGCGGTACGCGTCTACTGTACGGTGAGTTCTAGATCTCAACATCGCTGCGCGCGCACGCATCCCGCATAGAATCACCGGCGGCATGCGTGCGCGCGCAAAGGGGAGAATCATGTATCTTGGAATGTCCTGTGCCTCGGAATGTCCTCCTCGATCCGTTGATTGCGCTCTCTGTCACCTCTGCATGGATGTATGTGTGCGCGGGCGAGCATTTTTGCATGGGCTCCCCGCGTTCTCCTCCGTCGTCCGTCTTGTGTTCTGTGTCTTGACGTATATTGTGATGTCTAACCGCTAACTGAGTATCCGATGTGACCGGCCGGATGTCGAGATGGTTGCGGCGGGGGCGCGGCTCGCACGCGCTACGAGGGGACACCGCCGGCCTCGTTCGCACATGCATTCCAAGCGACATGGGAATCCGAACGGTCTCGCGTCGTGTCCGACGTAAAGCGCATCGTCTTGTAACTCCATGGTGCTATTCAACCATTGAGTGACATTTCGATCGTTTAATTTTAATAATACCCACCGGGCACGCCGCGAGACTGTCTCCGCGACACCGAAGCATTTAATCAGACACCAGAGTGACTCCGTCGACACCGAACGCGATTCGTTCCGAGGTACATGGTCCCCCATCCAGGCCGAGCGATATTGAGATGTAGAGCGAGCCGATGTCCGCTCGCGGTCGGTTCCGCCCGCCGCCATTAAAATTGTGTGTTATTTGCTTTGTTTATTGTGTACCTCGGAACAGTAAGCGAGGGCGCGGCGGAGTCAGTCCGAGGGCCGCGTGAGTGTGTGTATCGTGTGGCGCTGCGCAGGTACCTCGAGGTGCAGTCGAGCGGCCGGCGCGACGAGGTTCGGCTGCACTACGTGGCAGCGGGAGGGTCCGCGCCGCGCGTCGAGACCTTCCCGTTTCGGCTGGCGGACGGCTCGTGGCACCGAGTGGCACTGTCGGTCTCCGGCGCGCAGGCCACTCTGTACGTCGACTGCCACCTCCTGTACCGGCGACTCATCCCACCGCCCGATCGAAACTTCACTCAGCCACAGCTCACGCTATGGATCGGTCAGAGAAACAACAAACATTCCTTATTCAAGGTTAATTTATTATTACTCCACTACTATTTGGACTAATTTCAATTATACCCACATTGTGAACGCATTTTTTTTTACATTACAGGGAGCTCTCCAGGAGGTGAGGCTGGTGAGCGGGCCGCACGGCTATCTGGCCCAATGTCCGGGCTTAGACTCGGAGTGTCCCACTTGCGGACAATTCGCGCTACTTCAGGCTACCGTACAAGAACTCACTACACATATCCACGACCTTTCGCTCAAAGTAAAATAGTTAACCTTTATTTTTTTGTATAAAATTGTATCAGATTACTAAATGAAAGAATATTACATTACAGCTAGTAGGTGCAGAAGCTAGGATATCCAGGCTAGAGCAGTGCGACTGTCAGAAGTCATGCTACTCTAATGGGACAGTGCACGCTGACGGCGCCACTTGGCAGCGAGACTGCAATCGTTGCTCCTGCGTGGTATGCAAATAATACTCAAACTTCAACTCACTATTCATACAGATATTCTGAAATGTGGTTTTATTAATCGTTACAGCACGGTGAGATAACGTGCAGGCCAGTAGAATGCGACAGAGCGGAATGCAAGAATCCTGTATTACATCCGGGAGAGTGCTGTCCTACGTGTCTGAGTGCGTATTGTTTATATTATATTTTCCCATCTCGAAAATTTCTACTGGATCATTCCAAATATCAGATTTGGACGACGGCAATACGGCTACTATGATTCAGTTGGAATTTGAAATATGCATTTTTCACATTTCAATTTGAAATATAAATAAATTACAGCTTACGGGCTATGCCACAATTCAAAAACATAACTGCTTCCCGGCAGAAATAAGTAAGATTGACCACCATCCTACTTATTTCTGCCGTACGGGTAGGTACCAACCTACTCGTACGGGTTTATGAGACGCCCCTTTTTTTCGGGCCAGGGGCCCAACCTCCTACGGGGTTCTGGTGTCTAGGGGGCGCGTGAGGTATGTGGGATTGGACGGTTCACAAATCGCACATACTGGGAGCGGATCTGGGGCCCAAGGGTTGAAATTTAGGACTCTACCCAATAAACGACTCCTCTGTGCTCTTTCACCCGACCTCTTGTCCTCAGGCTGGAGCCCCATGAGCTCACCTACTCGCTCGGTGAATCTATTATGACCCCTCGAGGTTACTAGAATGGGTAGGAAAAAAATATGAAAAAAATGTCTGATCTCCGCTCGGGGTCAGAACTCGGTCAGAGTAGGACTTACAAGACGCCCTGACACAACTAAAATTGATTACAGTAGAGTACGTTTTGTAATCTTCCAGGGCAATGTTTGCTGTGGGGTAATCTGTACGAGCACGGGGAACGGTTCGCGCCGAAGGAGTGCGCCGAGTGCGTGTGCCACGACGGGAACATGCAGTGCACCCGCGTGGACCCCGAGTTGGCGTGTCCTCGGCTGCCCTGCGACCCTCCCCAGCAGTTCAGCGTGCCCGGAGAGTGCTGCAAGTTCTGCCCTGGTAAAAATAACATTCACATATTGTTTTTGAAACGATGTTCCTTATGGGACGATGCGGAGGGGTACTCTAACCAAGAAAAAACGACCGTAACGTAAGATTTTTATTAGTAATGCACTCTTGCTTTTCAATAAGCAATTATCAATAATTATTGGGTGCCTAAGTTAATTTAATATAACAGTTTGCGATACGACCAGACTATTTTAATTAATGACAAATTCTCAGTTTAAGTCTCTATGTTCATTCATTGGTTATAGAATTGATCCTCAATTATATCAATTGCTTCTTTTGCAATTGCAATTAGTATTGGTACTGTGGCTAATGCATTAAATTTCTGGTAGGATTCAATCTCTGTACTAAATATATCAAATTATCGGAGTCTAGTTTTTGTTGTTTTATGTGTTCCTAGTGCTAGATTCCTAGGCTCCTAGTTCCTAGTGCTTGCTGTTGTATGTAGAAAGTTTTTGTTTTCTTATTGACGTGTTCGACGTCTCGTTTGATGATTAATGTGGACAGGCGTGGACTACTGCAACATGGGCCACTCGTGCGATGAGAACGCGACCTGCATGAACCTCAACACCAAGTACACCTGCAAGTGCAACCAGGGCTTCCAGGGGGACGGTCTCACCTGTCAAGGTACATCACTACTGAGAAATTCCTAAAGAGAACTCCCCGGGCATTTGTATTTCTTTTTTGTAAATTATTCATGATACAAAGAAGATTTTGCGATTTAGCAGATATTGCATTTAAGTACTATTTAAAGTAGGCACTATTTTGTAAACAGTTTCTCTCTGTTTTTAATATTTTTTAATCATTAATTATTATTATTCATCTATTTTAAATAATATTAATCCACATTAATGTTAGTAACAGCGATTTCTTAAAATCTTTCTCTCTTTCCCTATCACAATTTAAAGAGCAATCATAATATTATTTTCTTAAAATTTTTACACGGGATACATTACAAACATTAATATATGATACTAGTGGTCAAAATTCGACTACAATAAAATGAAATTATGAGTTTGAACATTAATTTAAATTATTTAAATTTTTTATTTTATTTTTTATACATAATTAACAAAAAAATACCATTCTGCACTCCTCTATATTCTCTATAAGTGTGGAAATTTTTACACTTCTCTTTCCACACGATTTCCGTAAAAAGGGGTACTACATTATTACTTCACGTATTAATATATAGATAAGGACATAGGAATATACTAATAAAAAAAAACGATGCGCGTGCAACTTAGTACACGTGAATGAAGTGAAACTTCTTTTTCGATGTGTAGTATTGCAGTTTTCTTCATTTTTCTTTCTTAAATCAGATTGCTCTTGTAATAAGGAATGCTGTGTATAAAAGATGCTACATCTTTAACATTTATATTATATATATTTTAAATTATAAATATTTATATTATACTTCATTAAAATATTAGACGCTACTCGTTGCTTACGCTCGCGCTGGCCTGTAACAGATATACTACGCGTATGCGTTCGAGTGCCACGTATTCACTCTCGCTCTGTCTCTTTCTATTTCATGGTAGCGTTAAACGTTTAACGCAAACTTGTTGAAAGTCGCATTAGAAGTTTCACTTCAACAAAGTTGAGAGCCTGCCTTAACTGGACTGAAATTTATATTATTGCAGATGTCGATGAATGCCAGGAAGCCGGTGGCCTGCACGGCCACCACTGCCACTCCAACACGCGCTGCGTCAACGTAGTCGGCGGCTACGTGTGCCAGTGCTTGGGGGGATACACCAGGAAGGACAAGTTTAACTGCGTCGAGGTAACGGAGTGGCTTAAAAAAATAACATAATTATTTTACATTCAACTCAGCTATACAGTAATGTTGTTACAAAGTCGATTCCTTCGAGAGTCGAGAAAGGCGTGTATAATATGTCACATTTGCCAAACGATACTCGCGCAACTTGGCGCACGTGAATGAAGTGAAACTTCTTTTTCGATGTGTAGTTTTATAGGATTTCTTCATTTTTCATCCTTAAATTAGATTGTTCTTGTAATAGGGAATGCTGTGTATAAGTGATGCGACATCTTCAACAAAAACCTAAAGATCGCAATAATGGGTCTCTATACTTAAACACTAAAAGTAAGAATTCGATTTATAGTTTTAATTGTGTTCCAGGTGGACGAATGTGAGGGCAACACTCACGGGTGCCACGCGGACGCAGTCTGCACCAACACGCCGGGCTCCTACACGTGCCGGTGCCGGGACGGGTACGAGGGCGACGGATACACGTGCATGCGTCAGTATACTGCCCTCGATTGTTTATATAATGACACGTCATATATTATTTTACTAGTGCGTCAGATCAATGAGCTCGCTAATCTTTTATCACACACAGCTATATGTCCTGGGGGTTGTTTGAACGGAGGCACGTGCGTGGCGCCGGGGAGGTGCGGGTGCGGCGCGGGGTTTGCGGGCGCACGCTGCGAGCGGGACCTCGACGAGTGTACCCCGCCCGCACCCCGCACCCCTCCGCCCTGCGCCCCCCACGCACTGTGCGTTAACACGCCCGGCTCCTACTACTGCATCTGCGCGCACGGTTACAAAAAGGACCCAATACTTAATACTTGCAAAGGTACTTACAGATTATATAGCAATAGTCTGTTAGCCTTAATGTTAATAGCCTATTATTACTGCTGTAGAAAGCAGATAAGATTCAATGAAAGTGGTATTGCCTTTTAGATACACTTTTCAAAATGAAGGATATGTAAAAGCATTAAAGAATGTTAGTGACTAAAAATGATCCCTAAAAGCTTTATCTTGTATTCAAGAATACGCTAAGTGTAAAACATTATGCAGATGTCGTTCAAGTATAATTTTTTATAAATTCTTTATAATTCTTGTCCTGTGTTCCAGACGTAGACGAATGCACCGAAGGCTCGCACACGTGCCACCACAGCGCGCGGTGCGTCAACATCGACGGAGGATTCAGATGCGAATGCTTCACCGAAAACTGTGAATTAAGTGAGTGCTACGTCCCTCTTAGCGCTAGTCGTAATTTAGTTCTCCCTCCATCAATCAACCTATTCAGCTCAAGAATATCCAATACGTATATATCAATGTATTTCCATTATAATGAAACACAAATAACGAATTTATTGGAAACTCCCATAAACATAATATAATCCCTTAATAGTTTTCAACAAAAGTACATGTTCGCTAAGAAGATTTGCGACAATCTTGACACCGGTTCGATTGACTTCTAGCGCGAATACCACAGAGGCTCTATGTTGTTGGTGTGTGTGCAGGCTGTTCGTGGCAGGGGCGCGTGGTGTCGGAGGGCGCGACGTGGCGCGAGGCGGGGGGGTGCCGCGTGTGCACGTGCGCGGCGGGCGTGGCGGCGTGCGCGCGGGCCACCTGCGCCTGCGACGCCGACGACAACGTCACCGCGACGGTACGTATTCGAATTATACTAGATTGCATTTATTGCGCGCGTTGTATGTACAATGTTGTATAACCGATATTGTAGACCGAATGATAAACAGTCGACTTTATTTATTTATTGCTTAGATGGGTGGACGAGCTGTGAGCCCACCTGGTGTTAAGTGGTTACTGGAGCCCATAGATATCCACAACGTAAATGCGCCACCCACCTTGAGATAAGTTCTTCAAACCGAAACACATTACTGCTTCACGGCAGAAATAGGCATTGTGGTGGTATCCACCCGCGCGGACTCACAACAGGTCCTACCACCAGTAAAAAACGGCGTCGACCTAAACACGTCATTACGGATCCTCCAGATCCATTAACGGTGCTTTTAGGTACCACAAGCACCGCGTCCTCTTCGAACCCGTACATTGAGAGCTTGAGTACAACGTCTCCATTGTAAAATAGTGATTTTAGCGAGCTTATTATTTTATAGAATTGAGTATGGGTATGAATTAAGTACGTTCTTCATTAGACAGCCTGGTATTTCCGTTCAGAATTGAAAAACCGACACAGTCGCATTGCTCGATACGAGTAGGTACACCAGGCGTAACTAAGCTAAAAACGTTAAAAAAAATTTATTACCGAATCACAATTACTTTGTCCAAGTTATCTGACTGTCGGCGGGCAATATGACCGAAGTAGCTGAGGATCCTCTGGTAACAGATTGTTCAGAACTTGACTCGGATGTAAAGTTGATCCAGAATAGATTTATTTGTCCTCTTGGCCATCCACAGAATTCAGAGCATTCGTCTCCATTCATTCTCAGTAGAATACACCATCAAAATACAATGTAACTTCATCGAACATTATCTTTAGTTTCAGCTGGATTTATTGAGCACCGCGGCGTCAGCGTCGCTGGTGTCGGCGCCGGCGTCGTGCTGCCCGCACTGCGACGCGCGCTACCACTGCCGCCACCAGGAGATGCACCACGTCACCTTCCGCAGCGGGGAGCGCTGGCTCTACCAGTGCCAGATATGCGAATGCCTTGTCAGTACCGCAGACTTAAATTTAGTACCGTTGGATGTTTTCCTAACTAAGCTGAGAACCTTGAGAGGCTATATCAGCTTAACCTTAACTAGTAGGTGAGCTCACGGGGCTCAAACCTGACGACGTTGCTAACACGAACCCTAGCAAGAGCCATGCTTCGCAGAATCTGCCACCGGATCGGAAACGCGACCGACTGAGAAGAAGTTGTCGTGACCTAAAGGATAAGACGTCCGGTGCATTCGTATGTAGCGATGCACCGGTGTTCGAATCCCGCAGGCGGGTACCAATTTTTCTGATGGAATACGTACTTAACAAATGTTCACGGTTGACTTCCACGGTGAAGGAATAACATCGTGTAATAAAAATCAAACCCGCAAAAATAAATAATTTGCGTAATCACTGGTGGTAGGACCTCTTGTTAGTCCGCACGGGTAGGTACCACCACCCCGCCTATATCTGCCGTGAAGCAGTAATGCGTTTCGGTTTGAAGGGTGGGGCAGCGTTGTAACTATACTGAGACCTTAGAACTATATGTCAAGGTGTGTGGCGCATTTACGTTGTAGATGTCTATGGGCACCAGTAACCACTTAACACCAGGTGGACTGCGAGCTCGTCCACCCATGTAAGCATAGGCAGGAAAAAAAAAACGAGTAGGTCTTATTTCGGGCATCTTTTCTATTAAGCTATGGACGCTTATACGTTAAAGACTCAAGTTCATGTTGCGCATGGTTCCAGCTGGGCGAGGTGGACTGCTGGGAGCCGGAGTGCGAGGAGGGCGGCGCGTGTTGCTCGGCGGGGGGCGCCCCGCACCGCCTGCAGCTCGCCGGCTGCGAGCCCCCGCACTGCGCCGCCTGCCAGGTACACACGCACCCGCACGCGCACGCACACACGCACGCACTACGCTCCACATTACTACCGAAACTGGTTTGAATTATTTACAATGGCAACCACTATTCTATCTATGGATAGACAGAAAATATTTTTAGGAACACTGTTTTTAACTTGTCAACTTTTATATTTAAAAAAGAAATAACATTTTATATACATACAAATAAAAAACATAATATCGGAGACATTTCTACTCATCTCGAACTATGCAGATAACAACTAGCTATCCCAATCTCTATCGCTCCGTCTCTCTCAAAATCTCTTTTCCATTTAATTTGCGTCGTTAATAACGCAAAAGCTCATCAGCACATATCTCACGGACGATAATCAGCTAAACTTACAAAATATCTCGTCTTCATTAATGTGACTAACGAAAGCAGCATCGCATACTAAAACCGTTGACAACGAGCACGTTGGGCGGTGCCGCCGGCCGCTTGTCCGTGTTGTCTGTGTGTGACCGGCGGCCGCTTGCGCGCGGTTAGCTCCCCGCTTGTTCGGTCTGTGTGTGAACGCGACGTCTCGCTTGTTGCAGGGCGGGCAGTGCGCAACTCTGGTGAGCAATCTCGCGTGTTGTGTGCATCGGTAACCATCCCCACTCTTCTTATACATTCATGCATCTGCTCTGTTCACACCTGTTTGTTTGTGCGCATGCGTGTTCGATTTAAATCGCTTCGAAATATTCTCGGAGACACCCACATACATACAGGGTGTTACTTAGTATATCCAAAAAAATTGTATACTATTCAGATTAAAGAACTAACTTTATATCAATATAATTAATTTTTTTTTTTAAATCAATCGCGACTATGTCAAAATTAATAACACAGTCACATCAGTTGAAGTAACAAAACAATTTTAACTTCCAAGTGAAAATTAGCAAAATTTGTTATGGCAATATTTTACAGTGACTTTTAGAGAACCAATATTTGATCAAGTAACTATATCCAATATTGGTGCATTTGCAAAGCATTTAAATCGATGACGCATTCATCATCAGGTATCTTTATGTTTTTGTTGCACGTTTATTCATTTAAAGAGCATGCGAATTTAACAAATAAAACTCATTTAAAATCATCTTTTATGCGCTTAACGAGGCATGGAATTTATTTGCTGATTTTCTTTTCATTTACCTACCATGTTTTGATCAGTCGGACAATAGAATCAATGAAACATATTTACAATCAAATCAAATATTCATAGGACAACAACGAATCCGTACATAAATTCGATTCGTATCTAAACTTTAGGTACCATTAACTTAGTAAACAAATATTTTCAAGATTTAACACATAATTAAAGCTTATAAAATAATTATGAGTACGAAATGAATACTTAATATCACAATGTATACTAGTGATCAAACATTTGATTCGCGCCACACCTTCGTACAGTATATAGCACGTTAGAAGCGAATCACTGTAAGGCAACAAGCTCACAGCTCGCAGCGAGTAGCGAGTAGAGCGGAAGAGTGTATGTGGCGTTGTGTGTGTCAGAGCGCGGCGCGGCGTGACGGCGGCGCTGGCGCTGGTGGCGCTGTGGTGGGGGCGGACGCGCGGCCGCACGCACCGCAAGCATCGCGGCGCGCGGCGCTAAAGCCGCCCTGAGCACGCGCACACACCCACACATATTTATTCTAGATAGATCTAATGTTAACCAATTACGGCGGCGCGCGACTCGCTCGATGGCCTTAACTTAGCGGGCGACGTCGCCGCCGCCGGCGCAGCCCCGGAACCGCCGACACCTTCCTCTGCGTCGTCCCGTCGACGGATATCCTATTAGTGTAGATAGATAATCGAGTAGATTGCCGCGGCTTTCTCTCCATATCGCTGTCGCGTCGGAGCGGCCCCAGCCTTGTCGCTCCGCTCGCTTAGTCAGTCGACGATTCCGGTGCTAGGCGTCACTACATTCATCAATGCTCTGTATTCATGCGGTGCGTAAAGCCCTCTTTGCGGAACTCAGACGCGCTGTGTCCTGCGAGATGGCTTCCCTTCCGGTCCGACGCGAGCCGGTGCAGACTATATTCACAATTCCAACAAACAGTGACGCGTTCACGCTCGCGACGGACCGATAGCGGCGCCCTCGACCCCCGGCGCGTTCATACGCCGCTAATTGCAATCTTCGAATACTTAAACACTAAATCGATCGCTTAAAATTATTATCCTAGACTCGTAACGGTCCTACGTTTAGCTATTGTTGTGAATAATGTATAGTGTTGCTGGTGCTGGTCGAGGACGCGTCGTGTTGGAGAGGGCAGCGCGCGGGGGCGGCCCCACGGCCGGGTCGGCAGCTTCTTCAATTATAATATTACATATTTTAATAATAGTTATAGTCCTGTAAATGGGTAGCGTAGTGCCAACCTGGAGGGGACCGCCCCCGCGTTCTCCCTGTTGTACGAAATTTTTCATAATATATTCTTTAATTTTTGTTTGACTTTGTATAGGGATTGTTTTCTTGTATAATTTGAAAATAACCAAAAATAGGTACCAAATATAGAAAAAAATAAATATAATTGTTTCCTAATTTTCGTAAAGCATTTTGATGCTTGCATGTTGTATTGTGTTCAAAAAATTACAATAAAAAAGATATCCTATCTAATGTGTTTTCATTCCCTTCGTCCAAAACGAAACAAAAACGTGCATTTCAAACTCCAAATTTATTCATTCCACAGATACACAATCATACATAAAAAAAATTTTAATTTTAAAACTGACCAAGATATCGTTCGTTCACATTTGGTGTGTCGCAATAGGAATGACAGAGGGCGCGGTGAAGGAAGCGAACATCGGCTGCGGCGGTTTGAACACACGAGTCTCGCCCCGTTCCACGACCCCCGTCACTAGAGTGTAAGCTGCCGTAAACAACGTCACCGCCTAATAAAACAAAAAACATGACAATCGATTAAGACAAATCCATCATTAATTAACCTTTACCGCCTACGTAAAATTTTCCATTCTAATCCAAAGAAATACGCATCATTTTAGCAGGGATAGTATAGACTCGCTTATGTCAATTCCTAATTTATGAGCGATATTTTTGTTAAAAATCATGTAATCCCATGGTTAAATTACTATGTATAGGCGAATTAATCATGTAACATAGAACACACTATGATTATATGAATTCGCATTAAATGATTTTAAGCGGTTACTGGTTGCTAGATATCACACCGCGACGTCCGGGTCCAAAAATTGAATTACTACTATCTATCCAACCGTCACAAATAAGCAGCATGGTGATACGTAATGATCACAATAGTACAATAATACCAATAATTTGATGGTACTTTTTATGAACGATTGAATAATTTGATGGTGCTTATACGAAACCTCATCAAACCAGTTCCAAATCCTAATAGCTCAATTGCTTTAAACAAATGTTGACTAGAGTAAAACCTATCGTATTTTATGCTTGCAAATGCTAAATTTTCTGGAGGCAAGAGCTTGCTAAAAAACTTCATCATTAAAATTGCTTAAAGATTCTAGGTGGGGTTAGCTATTACATGCCATATGTACAAGCACGTACACTTATGAACACTAAATACAAAATACAACCTGCAAAAATCGTCTAACTCCCCCAAATGTCCGACTAGCAAACGGAATATAGATTGAAAAAGTATACACGTCATTACGGATCCTCCCGATCCATTAACGGTGCTTTTAGGTACCACAAGCACCGGTCACCGTCCTCTACGAACCTGTCGCTTGCGACGAAGGGCTCGACGAGTAAATTAACCCATAGACACAGCCCACTGAGTTTCTCGCCGGATCTTCTCAGTGGGTCGTGTTTCCGATCCGGTGGTAGATTCTGCGAAGCACGGCTCTTGCTAGGGTTCGTGTTAGCAACGTCGTCAGGGTTGAGTCCCGTGAGCTCACCTACTAGTTAAGGTATCCTAAGGTAGTTAAGGTATCCTAATAAGGTATCCTCTCAAGGCTATCAGCTCAGGTAAGAAAAAAAATTATAGTTATTTAGCATTTCACGAATCCTAAATATCAAATGAGGCGATGTCAATTTACACTCACCATGCAGACGATCATAGCGGATGCTAGAGCGGACAGCGAGTTCACATAGTTCCGTAGCTGAATAAGAGCGGGACGCAAGCAACCCGTCGGGTACAAGGGAAAATCACACCTTTCCCCGCGCTGTGTACAATTAAGCAAAATAATGCAAAAATCAGCTGCAACAGTTAAAAAATTAATAAAACACAAAAAAAAAAATATAATAAAATCGTTTTTTCTTACACTATTTTTAATTTAAATTTATTAAATTTTTTTTTGCTTAGATTTGTGGACGAGCTCACAGCCCACCTGGTGTTAAGTAGTTACTGAAGCCCGTAGACATCTACGACGTAAATGCGCCACCCACCTTGAGATATAAGTTCTAAGATCTCAGTATAGTTACAACGGCTGCCCCGCCCTTCAAACCGAAACGCATTACTGCTTCACGGCAGAAATAGGCAGGGTGGTGGTGGTACCTATCCGCGCGGACTCACAAGAGGTCCTACCACCAGTAAAGTAAATTTTCTATAAAAGAGTATTTTGTTAGTTTTTTTAAACTTTTATTAATTTTTATTTAATATATTATAAGTTTTGTAAAAATGACGGTAGGGTTATCTAGTATCTTGAACTATTCCACATGCCACTTCACAGCACCAACACGTGGGCTGGAACGAGGGTGCCATCGTATCTATGTAGTAACGTACCTTTTTTTATTGCTTAGATGGATGAACGAGCTCACAGCCCACCTGGTGTTAAGTGGTTAATGGAACCCATAGACATCTACAACGTAAATGCGCCACCCATCTTGAGATATAAGTTCTAAGATCTCAGTATAGTTACAACCTTTACAACCTTACAACAAGTACCTTTTCATTGGAAGCACGTCCGCAGCACGCCGGAGGATACGAGCTTCGGTGCTTATACCAATCCAAGTTAGAATTCACTCCGCAGCACTTCAACTACAATATTAGTTTCAATTTAATTATAGCTAATCGATGCGTGAGAAAATAAAAACGTGACGTTTTGAAACTCGACATGCTAATCAAAAACTGCACAAATATTTGATCACGTTTTTGTGTTCTGATAGCGCATGTGTGTTACTGAAGCTGAAATATCTCTATCTAAATATCTGAAATAAAGAAGCTATCCCATGAAATAAAAAAATAGTAAATTAAATTTATTTTAATGTTTATTCTGTTATTGGTGGTAGGACCTCTTGTGTCTTATAAAATTTATCTACAGATAGGCAATGACAATAAGCCTCCTTTTTCACTTCTGTTTGTCAAATGATTTTATTTTTTTCAGTACACATTAAAGAGTTACATTGTTTTTAGTAAAAATATTTCGGATATATTATCTTTGAAATGTCGATAGCATAAAAGAGATAACATAAAATACAGCAAACAAATCTCAATTTATAAGGTGTCAGGGAGTACAGTGAAATTTCGACGATTGAGAAAATACTGTAGTCTTAATAAACATCTAGAATAATAATATTACTTTGTAGTCTTAATAAACATCTAGAATAATATTATAACTACCTCGAGTTGCATGGCAGCGAAAGAGCTTCGGACCGCAGGATCGATGGCATCCAGCATCATCGCCTGCGCCATGCTCGCGTTCAGAGCGGCCGGCTCGCGGAGAACTCGCGAAAGGCCCGTTATCGAACTTATACCCAATGATATCATGAACATTGACGCCATTAATAGAGACATTAACTGTAAAATGAAATTCGTGAAGATTATTTGGGAACAAAGTGCGCTTGGTGCGGGCATTCCCATATTCCTCTACGGGGCGAGAGACATGGTGCATGAAAAGCCGTGATAGCAAAAAGAACGATGCCTTTGAAATGTGGGCGTGGCGGAGGATGAAAAGAATACCGTGGACTGCCATGAGAACTAACGAGTCCATTTTAAGGGAGATAAACATCCGAAAAGGCTCTCTTCCATCTGCCGGGAACGTGTTATGAGCTTCTTCGGACACATCATGCGGTCTCCCAGACATGAATCAGAGAAGCTCATAATTGCGGGTCGCATAGAGGGCAAGCGCGCCGTGGGCAAAATACCAGCCATATAGTCAGATCTAGTATGAGAAGCACTTGGTGGTAGTCTGTACCATGCGGTCCGTGCCACCCATGATCGAACACATTGGAAGAACGTCACATGTGGTCGCCATCCTCAGCAGTGAGGGAACGATATAGAAGTAGAACAGTTTAAGTTATCTACGTCAAGGTCTACTTAGGTTAAGAAGGCACCATTTTTTTAATATACCCTTAAGAAGTATAACATTTTGGAAGTATAACATATTAACCAAACCGTTTGAAAAACTAAAGACGTTCTTGTATCTCTGAATACCAATTTATGGGTTTAAATGGAACTACAAAATGATAGGTATCTTTACAAACAGCAATTTTGAAACATGTTTTAACTTACAGTCGTCAATAATGAAATAGATTTAGGGTAATATGGCACAAGGGTAGACAGCCAGCAAGTTGGGAGACACAGCAGCGCGCCCGCTATGAAGAGCACGCTAGAAGATAGCTCCACGCCGAGGTCCGAGGTCCAAAAGTAATACGACATCCGGAACAGACTCCAAGCTGCGGATCCGCCCAAGATGGCACCACCACTCTGTTTTTAAAGCAAAAAAAATAAATAAGATATCATGATATTTTTTTTATTGCTTAGATGGGTGGACGAGCCCACCTGGTGTTAAGTGATTACTGAAGCCCATAGACATCTACAACGTGAATGCGCCACCCACCTTGAGATATAAGTTCTAAGATCTCAAGTATAGTTACAACGGCTGCCCCACCCTTCAAACCGAAACGCATTACTGCTTCACGGCAGAAATGGGCAGAGCGGTGGTACCTACCCGCGCGGACTGACAAGAGGTCCTACCACCAGTAAATTTATCGTTATGTTTCTTATGTTTTAAGTGTAAATGTAAGTGTACTTACTACATACTTTTAAAGTGTAATCTCGTGTTTTTTGCGAATGCTTAGAGAGAAACTGACGGCAAACATATTGTGAGTCTCCCTTGTATCGTCCTCATAGAAATACTAGCGGTTCGATTTTTAATGTTGCCTTTATAGGCAGACAAGCATACGGTCCACCTGATGGTAAGTGGTTACCGTCGCTCATGAACTTCGGCAACGCCAGGCGCAAAGCCAAGCTGCTGCCTACCATGATCTGCGCTTGGAGATTACGTCGTGTATTTTATAAGCTAATAACAGACAGGAGTGTTGATGTCAAAGAACTTCGCTACTTTCTCAGTTTTTAGAAATTTAATCGCATGAAGACATTTTGCGGCATAATGGATTCCCACTTGGGTGTTTGGTAGCCAGCAGTATGGATTCGTACCTGGCTTAGCCAATACCAATAAGCGATGGCATTATCTTACGATGAAGTGTACTGTTGCTACCATGACGGGTGTAAAATTCAACACCCATGCTATTCCCATTATAGTAGATTAAAAATTTACATTAGAATAAATTTAGAAGGTACTTACAAACAAGAGTCCAGCGCAAGCAAACAAAACCAAACCACTACTTCTCATGTTGACTATTTCAGTAACTAAGTATTTTTTATAATTTTTAAATTGTATCACATATAAATCTTATAGTGAATATTTAGAGTATTTCAGTTCGACATTTTTTGATTTATGACAAATCATTGGAATTATTGAAATTTAAATTTTGTTCTTTTTTCTCCTCTTATTAGAATAATTCCTTTTCATGATTTCTCGTGTAGTAAACTTCGTGGTAGAAATAAGGAAATAAAATAGATACCAAACTAAGTAGTCTTTGATTTTATACAACATTCCAATTTTATTTTTGTAAATTTTATTTTAAAGTAACTTATCATAGTTGCAATCAGTGGAGAAAAAGGCAAGTTTACTTATCATAGTTGCAATCAGTGGAGAAAAAGGCAAGTTTGCAAAGACCAAAGACTTTTTGGAGCCTCTGGGTCTGCGGAGGGACTTCGGTTCCCTCTGTATTTTGTACCGTATGTTCCATGGGGAGGTCTCTGAGGAATTGTTCGAGATGATACCAGCATCTCGTTTTTACCATCGCACCGCCCGCCACCGGAGTAGAGTTCATCCATACTACCTGGAGCCAATGCGGTCATCCACAGTGCGTTTCCAGAGATCTTTTTTGCCACGTACCATCCGGCTATGGAATGAGCTCCCCTCCACGGTGTTTCCCGAGCGCTATGACATGTCCTTCTTCAAACGAGGCTTGTTGAGAGTATTAAGCGGTAGGCAGCGGCTTGGCTCTGCCCCTGGCATTGCTGAAGTCCATGGGCGACGATAACCACTCCCATGACCCTGAGGTCGTGAACCATGTATTTCAATATGGTTTTTAATGCCAATCTAATAATACTTCAAATGGTATAAAAGAAACCCAAAAAATATACCTATATACCGCAACTGGCGGTAGGACCTCTTGAGAGTCCGCGCGGGTAGGTACCACCACCATGCCTATTTCTGCCGTGAAGCAGTAATGCGTTTCGGTTTGAAGGGTGGGATAGCCGTTGTAACTATACCTGAGACCTTAGAACTTATGTCTCAAGGTGGGTGGCGCATTTACGCTGTAGATGTCTATGGGCTCCATTAACCCCTTAACACCAGGTGGGCTGTGAGCTCGTCCACCCTTCTAAGCCATACAAAAAAAAACTGAGAACCTTCTTTTTATTCGTGCCTGATTAAATTGCGCTTTTTGCAAAACAGAATTTTCTGTCAGTGTAACAAATTTCGTATGTCCGATAGGCAAATGTCAATTTGTCATTTTGATTAAAAGTATACAATTAGGTCCGGCCCTTGTTAATCAAGGTTTACAATTCGTTACGTATGCACAAAATTGAATAGTTCTCATAGGCTTCCGAATAGTCTCATTAGTGATTCGGAAAACACCCTACAAATATACAGCTTGTTACATAAAGCATGCACCCCTTACGTGAAAGAACATGCGACGCTCTTCTGGAGAATCCCGCGTTGAGAACACCCCCGCCTGAACCGGAAAAGCCGAAGCCGCCACGAATTCGCAAACCTCGTGAATTCAAACTTGTAATTAGCATAACCGTTAATTATCAGGGTACTGCAGTAGGGCCCAAATCGCATCTTTTATTAATTTAATTCTAACCACATCGCCAGACAATTTATCAAATCACCGGGTTTCTATTTTGTTTCAATAATTCTTCTATTACTATAGGCGGGACAGACCACGGCCCATTTAGTGTAGAAAGGTTACTGGAACACACTGACATCACATCACAACCTAAATGCTGCTACCGACCTTGACATTTGAGATCAAAGTTTGAAAACTATTAAATAACGACTGTCCGAGCCTTAAAACAAATTCGCGACAGAAATCTTCCGAACCTGCAGAATCTGCAGAGCACCGGGCATGGCATAACACCGCACTGGAGGCGTATGTAATGGCACGGCATGCACGGAGTGTGCCATGGTACTCATTGCTAATGTTACTATTTAATATTTAGCAAAAAGCCCAGTGAAGTGTGGTCGGGTTTCATTTGTTATCTATAAGCACCAGCCAACAAGACTTATACAGATTTCATCATTACAGCCTCCAAGATTTCCCTTATTATCAAAAGAATTCTACGCTTGTTGGTGTAACCATCAAAAAGAGGTAAATTAATTATTGGGTCTAAACATAAAACTTATTGACTAAATATTAACTGCTTTAATTATTGGTGCACATACGTAAACGTTCATAGCTTCAATTGGCCAAGCACAAGATAGACGATAGTCCGCCCGAGCTATTCCCGGAGTTATACTTGAAGCCGCGCCGTTTAGACTACTACGCACGACAGCTCGAAGAGAATATGAACGTTAACAAGGAACTGCTTAAAAGAATAAATCTCATACAGAGGACTGGAGTAAGAATTTTAAACAGCAGACGTAGTCCTTTCCTTCTTCCAGTTGCACTAAAACCGTTCTGAGTCTTACCGCTATTAAAATATTTGGACTGGATTTCTTAAGCATTGCCGACCCTCCTTTTATTGGTGAAAACCTCTTTTTTATAATGTCCTTTTTGGGCTATCTTTCTAATCGACCGAAACATGAAATCCTGACGTGAGTTTTCTTTCCTAATGAGCTTTCATTTTTATTATTTCGTTCTAAATGGATTTTGGCAATTTTTTGTATAAGTTCTTATTTATCTAAGACGTGTTCACGAAACGCACGAATAAAAATAGAATACGCTAAATTAAGAAATTTTGTTGGTTACTTACATCGAGCGTGTGTAAAGCCCGCACGAGTAAGTACCACCATCCTGCCTATGACGGACACAAAGCACTCGTGCGCTACAATTTTAAGAGCAGGTCACCCCATAACCAGTAAAACTGAAACTTCAATATCATGTTTAAAGATGAATGTGCGTATGTACGTATGCAGGTTGGGCGAACATCGCACATCACCGCTCTGACAAGAGTGTCGGAGTAAGAAGAAGATTCATGCTGTGATGTCTATGGGATTACAAGTTGGATCGTGCGCTTATTTCCATTAGCATCTTGTCTCGTCTTACAGGGGTTTGTCGACTGCTGGATGCGACCTGAACCGACTAATACATACAAAAAACTTCTGTGCAAGCAGCGTCAACGGAACCTCGATGAGATCCGGAAAAATAACCTTTACTTCTATTCGAGACTTCTTATTGCCGTTTGTACTTTATTTGTTCTCTCTAAAAGTATATTATGACCCTTAAATCCTTATGACTTAGGTTTTTTTATATTGCTTAGATGGGTGGACGAGCTCACAGCCCACCTGGTATTAAGTGATCCAGTGAGCCCATAGACATCTACAACGTAAATGCACCACCCACCTTGAGATATAAGTTCTAAAGTCTAAGTATAGTTATAACGGCTGCCCCGCCCTTCAAGCCGAAACGCATTACTGCTTCACGCAGAAATAGACAGGGTGGTGGTACCTACCCGTGCAGACTCAAAAGAGGTCCTACCACCAGTAAACCAGGTTATCGTTCCGATAAAATTACAGAGATCCGAACAGCCCCTCACAAAGGAATTAGAAGAACATTGGAAGGAGACAAAACACAAATTAATCTTGGGTGCTTCGTGAGTATGAATTGCGCATTTATTTTATACTCATGTGTAACAATTCCATAAAATCTCCAAATAAATAACTTAATCGGTCTTTATAATTTCTAGATTGCCATTTATTCTGTTCAAAACTGAAAAGATTGATCGTGATATTCGAGATCCAAGCTTTGACCGGCCGTTGAACGTTTACCGAACTAAGTAAGTTTGCAACTTTTTTGTTATTATAAAAACATTTTGTTGGACTTGTTGCAAACGTCATAATCACAAATAGACTGAAGACTGCGGGTAGGGTATAAGGAGTATACAAATCTAGCCACCGTCTTTCTTCTCATTTTTTTTTGTGTTGCTAGTGGCATTCGGTGCTTTGACCCACAAAATATACTCTCGTGTGTAACAGCCCCTAAATATCAAAGACTCATAGAATGTAAAATTTTGGTAAGAAGGTTACCATATATAAAACAGTATTTGTGATGTAATAAATAATAGCAGCAAAAGTTTAATATATTTTTATTGAAACCTCTCTTTCATAAACTTAACACTAACTTAAAAACTTCAAAATTTGCTAAACCACTGCATAATTTTTCGCCTTAGAGTCTCTATGGAAGTTTGGGTGGTGGGCGGTTCGAAAATTGGAAAAGTCACTATAGAACTATTCAATGATATAGTTCCAAAAACTTGTCAGCTTTTCTTGAGTCTCGTGAGAGGTGATCCCTTTGGTCACGCATACGCAGGGACCAGATTTTTCAGGTAACTGTCTTATTTTGTTCCCTATGAGAGCCTTCCTCCTCGGAGACTGAGATAAGACTCTATATCTCTGTACTATAAGATTGCAATCCTCATATCCAGGATGAATAACTAGTAACCACTAGTTATAACGTGTTTTTTCTTAATTGGATAGAGTCCGAAGACTTCGTGGTTAGAATTATGAAGTGGCTATCAATACACAACTTGAATTTCGTCATCCACCTCAATAGATAAAATTTGATTGTACAAATAATTCATAAAATAAATAGCTTCAGATTTAAAATACAATGAGTTTCTTCTAACCTGTTCAAAGAATTTTACGCGTATTACTGGAACAACCAAATAGGAACACAATAAAATCTAAATTTCGTCATTTAAAAAAAGGTATTTTTGCGCAAAAACATCTGGAATGCTCTGATCTTTTAAGTGCGTAATTTGGTTTCAAAACACGCAGTTATGTCATTTTTACAGTTAGAGATATCTTTAGGTCACAATTAATAGAATACTATCGCATTACAACCTGAATTATTCCAAACCCGTCGTGGCCTGAAGAATAAGACGTCCGGTGCATTCGTATCTTGCGATGCACCGATGTTCGAATACCGCAGGCGGGTACCAATTTTACTTAACAAATGTTCACGATTGACTTCCATGGTGAAGGATTAACATCGTGTAATAAAAATCAAACCCGCAATATTATAATTTGCGTAATTACTGGTGGTAGGGCTTCTTGTGAGTCCACCACCCTGCCTATTTCTCCCGTGAAGCAGTAATGCGTTTCGGTTTGAAGGATGGGGCAGCCGTTGTTACTATACTGAAACATTAAGACATATCTCAAGGTACCCACCTTGTCGGCGGCATTATTATAGATAGATGTCTATGCGCTCCGGTAACCACAAATAAGACTCATGTTTGTCCTTTAAAGGATTGTTCCCGACTTATACTGTCGAGGCGGGGACGTCATTAAAGATAACGGATTTGGCTGCTATTTACCAGAAGGGCAAACAGAACCTATGGGTGTCGAGTGCTACCGCCTCAAGCACACTGTGCCCGGTAAAATAATTTAATTTTTTCAACAAATTTAATATAATTCTCATTTGAAATGCTCTTATTTACTAAACTTCTTTTTCTTCTTTGTCCCCACCTTATCCCATTAGGTGGGGTCGGCACAGCGAATTTTTCTATTCCATTATCTTCTATCAGCCGTCATCTCAACACTCACTCCTCTCTCTCTCTCTCTCTCTCATATCGTCATTCAAACACTCCATCCATGTCTTCTTCGGTTGAGCTCCTCCCTCTTATTTACTATACATATGAGAGCAAAATAATAAGTAACCAATTTACAAAGCTAATCATCAAAAACGGCATCAGTGAGTTAGGCTACGGTAACCACTAACAAGCTATACCGTAAGCCTCTATGAATAACAATAAGAATAAGTAAACAAAGTAAAATATAAATAATAAAGTGTCACTATCACTGCACAGCGTCCTATTTATTTGACTAAAGCAGGCGTGGGTCTAAGTTTGAAGACGGCAATTATATAATCGAAACAATGTCGAGTTTTTTTTTCTATATTAAACTACGACAGCTAAGCTCTGCCTTGAATTTACATTTAGATTTATAAGGAAACATTGTTAAACTACCAGAGCATACTTATTAAATTCTGACTCCAATAAATTTTATTTTGTATAGGTGTACTATCCATGGTTGTAAGTTCTGATAACGAAGTGTGCGCACAGTTCAATATAATATTCAAGCCGCTACCACAATTCGATGGGAAACACGTTGTTTTCGGCAGAGTAAGCTTTTTTATTTTTTTATTGCTTGGATGGGTGGACGAACTCACAGCCCATCTGGTGTTAAGTGATTACTGGAGCCCATAGACATCTACAACGTCAATGCGCCACCCACCTTGACATATAAGTTCTACGGTCCCAAGTATAGTTTCAACGGCTGCCCCACCCTTCAAACCGAAACGAATTACTGCTTCACGGCCGAAAATAGGCAGGGTGGTGGTACCTACACGCGCGGATTCACAAGAGGTCCTGCCACCAGGAAAAGTATGTGACTCAGAACATCTTTCCTGTTATTTGTACATTGCGTAGTGACAGGGTGAATTGTGAGCCACCGTCCGGGTCAATTCTGACTCAAAGCAGTCATCCGTTTAATTAGGATGGCGAGATAGCCTATTACATTCATGTGAGCAATGTTACACAACTGAATCGTCAACCTCACTCAATGGGCGTCAATATTCGTTGTGACTGTACACTGCTTCAATAACGAATAAGATTGTGAGCTCGTCTGTACCAGTTGCTAATTATAAAGTTTAGGTATCTAATTTTAATATTTGTGATGTTTCAATTAAGAGCTATCTATCAACCTATATAACACCACTGTTGCGCATAAAGTTATCTGTCATTAATGTAAAGAGTGCAATTTTGTTTTTTCCTAGGTGGGTGAGGCTTTACTATGAAGACGTGCTTCCGGCCAACCTGGTGTTAAGTTGTTATCGGATCCCATAGGCATCTACAGCGTAAATTCCGCCACCTACCTTGAGTTATGAGGTCCAAGGTCTCCGTTATTTGAAGGCAAAACTACTTCACGGCAGAAATAGGCAGGAACCTACCTGTGCGAACTCACAAGATACTCCTACCAACAGTAGTTACGCAAATTATAATTTTACGGTCTTTGATTTTTATACACGGTATTATTCCTTCACCGTCAATCGTGAACATTTGTTAAGTACGTATTTCATTAAAAAATATTGTTCTTGCCTGCGAGTTCGAACACCGATGTATCGCAAGATACGAACGCACCGGGCGTCTTATCCTTTAGGCCACGACGACTCTATTATTATTCAACTTCCGTTTATTACGCTTGGAAATGTTCGTAGTTATTGATTTTTTTATTAATTACAATGGAGATTTTGTTTTAAATTATCAGATTATAGGGGGACCAGCGCAGGCCTTAGAGCGTATCAGTGCTCTCGGACTCCCACTGGGGACCACGACGTCAGACTGCGTCATAAGGAACTGCGGATGGTTCACTCGCTCCGGACAATACCGAGAAGGAAACCAGAACACCACCAAATTCCCTCCGAGACGTAAAGTAAAGACATGATGAAATGTACGTCCTTTATGCTCGATCTATCTCGTACGTGTTTTCAAATCTCGGCGAGAAGCAAAATTTCGGCGACGAATGTTTGCAAGTAAAAAATTATTTCACACAAAAAGTTTAATAAAAACACGTCATCGTAATGTTTTTTACTTTATTTTTTTGTATTACTTTAAATAATTTATATTAAAAAAAAACAGAAGATATATTTCGCGGTGCGTTGTTAATAACACAAAGCAAACAATAACAATAATTACATCGAATCATACAGTCAATCAATTTTGTAGGAGCTGTCATGAAATCTTCGAATCTGTCATTCTATCTTCACGAATAATCCACAGGAGAGTATTAAAGCCAGCAACTGGAAATGAAATCGATTAACTATTTAAATGACTGCTTCACGGTAGTGAGAGACAGAATAGTGACTATTCGAGTGGGCTCAGCCCGTATTAAGCAACGTTGTATAGCGTTATGAATTTAAACCTATAATATTACAGATTATCAAGGGTTTCAGTGAGAGAAACGGAAATAGATTACTGCTCTAACATAAAAAAAACAACATCAATTTACTAACTAACGCACTAGAGTCATATATTTCTTTTTATTGCTTAGATGGGTGGACGAGCTCACAGTCCACCTGGTTTTAAGTGGTTATTGGAACCCATAGAAATCTACAACGTAAATGCGCCACCCACCTTGAGATATAAGTTCTAAGGTCTCAGTATAGTTACAAGGGCTGCCCCACCCTTCAAACCGAAATGCATTACTGCTTCACGGCAGAAATAGGCGGGGTGGTGGTACCCACTCGTGAGGACTCACAAGAGGTCCTACCACCAGTAAAAAAACTTACCACAGTAAGTAACTTACCATTATAATTGCGACAATGATGGCAGCAGTACCAACATACACGGCGTCCTCTCGCAGGAACTCGATGACCTTGTCAAGGCAACCGTCGACATAAATCGTGGTCGGGTTTTGATTGGATTTGCAATCTATTCTCTGAAATAATAATTATTAAACTCGTTATCAAATAGATCAGTTTCAATTATTATTAATTAAATAAAAAACGGCAACAATTGTAGTAATTTTCTTCGGGCACAGATGAAAAAAACTCTTGCCGGATTTGTGGATTACAGTGGATTGCAGTGGTGCAAACGGAATCCATTTGTATATTTATGTAAAGACTTCGGGTTAAATCTATCACTAAAGACATTTAAGTTGAGCAACAACCTTACGATTTACTGCTTACATTCGACTTTTTTCTCATCATATTTGAACTAAGCGGCCACAACAATCGAGATATTACCTTCCCAGGGTAGGCTTCCCTGCAGCAGCTCTCCGGGAGATTCCCGTGCCAGTCATTAGGGCTCTTCACTCCGCAACATTGGAGATAGGTCTGCGTGTCGTCCCAGGATTTCGTGTACTCGTGTTTGACACCATAATAGGGCACAGATGCGTACAGCTCACGGTCTAGGGTTGTCAGAACCTTCTCTCTGAACACGAACTGCAAGATCCCTCCCACTAACATCACAACGAATATGATGAAAACTAAAATGTAGTACTGAAAACAATAATATATTTATTAAGTCTATTAAATCAGAGATTGTTTAGTAAAAATATGAGAAAGTAGCGGTGTAGTTACGTCATTGATCTAATAGATTTTAAAGATCGACATATTAATAGGTACGCTTTTATTAGCTTCAGACGTATGTATGTAACGGAATCTTTGAACATGATTTTGACCCCCTTCAAAATGTCGGATTGACTCGAAATTTGGCATGCTTATTAAGGACCGATTACAATTAAATATTTAAAAATAATAATAATTAAAAAAATGACTTTCAACTAAAAATTTAAAAATAAATAATAGTTTAAAAAAAACTAATTGTATTGTAAAAAAAGCGTGAGGTGCATGGTATCAGTAGTTATAAATATTTTATGAAGAGATATGAGTAGAAGGGTTATTTTGATAAAATCCTGAAAAGCACCCCACGCCTTTTTTAAATAAAATCATTTTTTTCTTACACTATTTTTAATTCAAAATAATTAAAAAAAATATTCTATTCTTTAGTTGGATTTTCTATAAAAACGCATTTTTTTGTTTTTTTTAAATTTTTTTTTTAAGTTAGGCGCCGGAATTCGTATTGTACCTATTACGTCTGGATTCGTCTAAAAACGTTAGAACAGGTGATACATGAGTTTAGTAGTAATCATGATTAATTAATGAAGCTCACCGTGAGCAACATGCATTTGACTTCCTTAGCGGCGCCGCAACATCCCAGTAGCGAGAGGATCATTATGGCGACGCCCATGGCCACGACCACGCCGACCGACGCTATGAACATGTTGTTGCTCATCAACGTGCTTGAGAAAGAACGCGACGTCCACACCCATAGTCCTATGGCCAGCGCTATAGCCCCGCCAATCTGGAATTTCATAAACCATCAAGCTTAATGAATGGAAAAATTAATGATCCATGAAATATTTCTGCCGTGAAGCAGTAATGCGTTTCGGTTTGAAGGGTGGGGCAGCCGTTGTAACTATACTGAGACCTTAGAATTTATATTTCAAGGTAGGTGGCGGCATTTACGTTGTAGATGTCTATGGGCTCCAGTAACCACTTAACACCAGGTGGACTGTGAGCTCGTCCACCCATCTAAGTTATAAAAAATAAAAAAATAAAAATAAAATAAAAAATAACAATAATAATAATCACCGTTTTTTTTTCCTTCCTATGCTATGATAGGCTTGAGAAGCTACTTCAGCTTCGCCCTAACGTGTAGGTGAGCTCACGGGGCTCAAACCGGGAGTGTTGCTAACAATGGCCCTAGCAAGAGCAGGGCTTCGGTAGAATCTACCACCGGATCGGAAACGCGACCCACTGAGAAGATCCGGTGAGAAACTCAGTGGGCAAGAATCAGTGTAAAATGTTTAGTTCTGTTCGGATTCGTAACGAAATTATAAATAGCACCAACGAATACATATTATGTAAATTATTTATTTTTAAGTTATAACTTTATTTATTTAATAATTAATTGTATAAAATTAATTTATTATTAAATTATATAAATTTAAAATTTGTTATATGTCTAATACATAAAACAATAATAATAAATACTAATTTAATTAAATTTAAATTATCCTAAAACTTGTACTATAAAATAGGTTATAATCACCTGATACGATTCACGAACAACTTGCACAATAAAGTTTTAATGTCGTCTGATAAGAATGAAACCCATAAAACTGCTTTTATTTTACGTAATTAGTTACCGGCCGTGCATGTAATTTTACACAGTCCCTAAAGAGAGGACATTGTGTGAGGGTAGATACAGCGTCGTCAATACCACGAACCAGACGTATTTTCCGGTTTGGAGGGTGAGAAAACCGTTAGATTGCTTTATTGAAAGTTCGATCTCAAATCTCGGTGTGGGCACCGGCGTTCAAACCGTGTCTACGTGCTCAAAAAACCGCTTAACAAAAAACGGACCGTCGGCTCGCGTAATTTCTTCTTCTTCTTCTCAGTCGTTCACTCCTGGCGGAGTGGTCGTGGTTACGTAAGTCTTAATATTTGGTTGCAGCTTTTGAGAGGCTTCTCCATCTCTCTCTATTTGTGGCGGTACGTGTACATTCAGTAAGGGAACACTTCGTAGAAAACTTAACCAAGTCTGTCCACCTTGTGGGTGATCGGCCGCGAGAGCGTTGACCGTCTACTCTTCCTTGAACCACTAAACGTTCCAATGATCTTTCATTAAGAATGATATGTCCAAACATATTAAGGATTCGCAATTGCACAATCGACGAAAGCCTTTGTTTGATTTGGAGCTCTTTGAGGATGGATACATTAGTGCGGTGAGCAGTCCATTTTACCCTCAGCAAGCGTCTCCAGCACCACATCTCAAGGGCGTCAATCTTTTTACGACATATTTGATGGATCGTCCATGTTTCTGCTCCATATAGGAAAATAGGAAATATTAAGCACCTCATTAAGCGAACTTTGGTGTTTTTAGTTATACGGCGTAATTTACTAATACATAATTTAAAAAATGCATTAATTAAAGTTACTCTAACTGGGAACGTGCACTAAAAACTATTTGCCCGTTATAAATTACTCGTTTCCCCTTTAACCTCATTATTAGGGTCACGATATTAATCTTAACTAGAGGTCCCGCAGTAGTCGAAATTCGACTATAATTAATTGGAATTGTAAATTTGTACACTATTATGATTGTATTTTATACCTCTATAATCACAAATTTCGTTAAGACTATGTACACTATAAAAAATATTAACAAAAACAAACAATATACAATCTCAATTTGACAACAGACGTCAAGAACAAAAATTTGACAATAAATAGTATGCATGCGTGTGTGCGTCAAATACATGGTATGTAGTGTGTGTAATGTTTTCTTTATTGATATAATGTATCTTTTATGCATTATTTAAAAAAAATATTAGAATTGTGCACTTCTTCTCTATATTCTCTATAAGTGTGGAAAATTTCATACTCCTCCGTCCGCGCAATTTTCGTAAAAAGAGATACAAAGTTTTTGCTTCACGTATTAATATATCTTAATTATTATCATGCCATGCGTTCGAGTGGTTGAATGCCATAACTTGTTGTTTAACGTTTAATTTGCCGTCTAGTGTAGTGGTAAGTGACATGGTCACCACACAAGGGGACCGCGGGTTCGAATCCCGCCAAGGGAAGATATTTGTATGATAAATATAAAATGTCTTTTCCAGGGTTATGGATGTATATTATATATTATGTATGTGTATAATAAAAATGTAACACAAGCTCTTTACGAACTTAGCACGGGACCAGTTAACGTGGCGTGATTGTTAGTAAATATATATTTAAAAAAAAAAGTTTATGATAATTTTAAGATTAATAAATTAAATTTGATCATCACATAGGAATTTGAGTGAACTCACCAATGTTATTACGTTGATACATATTAGAGAGAACTTCATGCACCTCCCGCAGCTGTCCATCGCTCCACCCATACCCATTGCTCTTCTGTCCAATAAAAAAAAAAGTAATAAGCATTAGATAGAACTCAAGAGTCCTCCACGTATTTAAGATCTAAGGGGTGTCTGAAGTTATTATATCTTTTACCGGTGGTAGGACCTCTTGCGAGTCCGCACGGGTAGGTACCACCACCCTGGCTATTTCTGCCGTGAAGCAGTAATGCGTTTTGGTTTGTAGGGTAGGGCAGCCGTTGTAACTATACTGAGACCTTAGAACTTATATCTCAAGGTGGATGGTGCATTTACGATGTAATTTATATGGGCTCCAGCAACCACTAAACACCAGGTGGGCTGTGAGCTCGTCCACCCATTTAAACAATAAAAAAAAAGAAGATAGCAGATAGCAATAAGAAGTTGCGAAAATTATTTTATAAATGTTTGGCGCGCTGCACGCAACCAATGCAGTTAAGAGATCAGCTGACTCGAGGGGTCGGCGAACCTTTTTTTTTAAATCGATATTATACTGTTGTCTTCGTTTTTGATTCCGTTTTTACGAAGCTTTAAGTCTCTAAAATGACAAGTTTATTTTATATTTAGATTTGCAAATGTCTATTGTTGTGCATTAGTTGCATTTTCCACTTTGGAAAAGGTTTCTTTACTTTTACGTACAGTAAGCATTTGAAATTCGTGTAATAAAAATCGAACTTGAAAAATAATATAATTTATGAAATTAATAATTCTAGGGCGTATTGTGAGCACGCTCGGGTACCACTACCCTACCTATTGCTGCCGCGACGCAGTAATAATGCGTTCCAGTTTGAAGAATGAGGTAGCCTTTGCTGCCGAAATGAGACTTGGAACTCGTGTCTCATTATAGGTGGTGACATTTACGTTATTGATATCTACGGGCTCCGGTAAGCACCAGGTGGACCGTGAGCTCGTTCACCCGTCTAAGAAAGAACAGTAAAAATTGAATTACAAATCAACAGGAGGTATACAGTCAAGACATTGACTTCATGTAGGTGCTTGCATTACTTAACGGTTCCGATAACCACTTATTACCGGGTGAGCCGTCAGCTCCTTTACCCAACAATGAAAAAGTCAACCAAACAAGCTACTGCAACAATTTAACGTTATTATAGCTACTTTTATTAGGACACAATGTAAACAAAAAATCCCATAGTTTGATTAGATGATATGCTATTTATTTCTCTAAGCACGTAACTATAAAAACTATGACTTTGGCGACCTCTTCCGAACATGGTGACGAGTTGTTTTTTGCCTTGTTCGCGTTCTAAAACATTGTAAAATAGATAATTTAACTGCATTTTTTATTTTTATTTTAGCCACTTTTATCTCCTTAATTATCGTAATAGGAAAAAATATAAAAATTTAAGATACTAATCTGATACAATTCATTTCACACATTTCACACTAACAATAAAATTGTTATAAATTGTAAATAATATTGTAACAAATATCTATTGTTTATTTCACTTTACGTATCGTGTTTGTAAATTCTATTAATGCATTAAGATATATTAAAACTACAATAATACAAATATTGTGGAGAAATTACTTTAAATCCCTCGACAGCTTTTAAAAATCGAAATTATTTTTTATCACTAAGGGTGTCATTTGTAGGAAACTATTTCAATGCCTAATCACGCTTCCGAACGAGAACTCACCGGGCTCTAACCAGAGGACGTTGCTAACACTACCCTAGCAAGAGCAGTGCTTCGCAGAATCTACCACCGGATCGGAAACGCGACCCACTGAGAAGATCTGGCGAGAAACTGTAGGAGTTATTGTTAAGTTATGGCCAAGAGAATTATGCTCCGCTAATTTTCAAGTGATAAACTATATTGTATAAAATATCGGTTAAAATAAATTATAGACAGCATTCCAAACAAAAGCTATTGTAATTCTGAAATAGAAACAACCCGGCGACACACGATCACATAGCCAACCGCAAAGTTTTTAAATCGGGAAGTAACTTGCATCAATAGAAAAAAAAAAACAAGATATTTTTAAAGTATTATAATTTGGCTATGGGGGTCTAAGATATCAGTTTATTTTGGAAAAAGTATCTTTTGCCCTCTTGGGAATCCCTAATTTACATAATGTTTTTTAGTAGCTAGGTTAATTATTTGAGCGTAGCTTTGAGCTATATACGTGGTTGAGAATGATAATAATTTCATAGTAATAATTTCACCTGTATCATATCCTTCAATGGCAAATCCCACTCTTACAACCCTGCTTTAAATGACTAGTTAATGTCACGAGGTAGGCCAAATCTAACGATATAATATCCAGTAATTTTACTATTTAATTTCATGGAAAAAGATTTATAAAAAATATTTTTTCCTGAAGTATCTAGTATATGTATGTAAGAAGTATTTATCTGTAGCAAATAATAAACAAAATCAAGCCGTCGGAAATTATAATAAAATAAAAAAAGCATTTTTTCAAATTCCCTTTTGGTAGTCCCCTTTATATTGCTAATCGAATAATTGTATAGTAATTAATTTAGTTTTATTCGCATAATAATGTATTATTAACCTAATAAGAGCCATTAAATATAGCTTAAAATGTAAGTAGCCGATGTATACCGTATGTTTTTTTTGCATCTGTTGATCTCAAATATGACAGTGTTGTAAAATTATGGAACTAGGAACTGCAATATAAATATTACATGAACAGAAGCCAAAAGTACAGTAAAAATAGCACAGTACAGAGAAAAACGTTGTGCACTACAAAGAACTAAAAACACTGATAAAAATTACTTTTAACTATTTAATTTCGCGTTTATTATTTTCATTTTACACTTACTTAATAAATGTTCGTGGATAACGTAAAATTTAAATTAAAATAAAAATAGATACGAGATTAAATCGTAATAGTAGTTATAATTATGTCTACGACTCGCCTAATAAATTCTGTAACATTGAACAATTTATGTAAGCCACAATTACCATGAAGCTTGGGCAATCCTTTAATTATTAAATGGCGTCCTCAATTTCCTACTGACATTGTTTGTGATTTATCATTGAAACTGTTCGTTGAAACACGATGACCGACATTAAATGTTAATTGCTACATACAATTAATCTATGCAGCTATGACATTCAAGTAATTTACCTCCAGAACATTGCGGTTTTTGTCTCTTTGTATTCATGACCTTTTTTTATATTTCGTGAAGTGTGCCCTGTTTTATTGTCTTCTTCCATTATACGAAGCGCATTATAAAATGTTCTCGTATTATTTTCTACCGTGTTCTTTAATAGAATTAACAGTTAATAAACGGCACAGATGATCAAAAAATAAGAATTTCGATTAACAACAACAATTACAGAATATTCTATTCCACAATTAAATCATACCAAAAAATGAGAATCTCACACTAAAAAGATAATTTACTTGATGATACTTAAATAGATCCCAACAAATGAACATCATAGAACACCTATGCAAAATAAACAGTTCCATAATTGTTTTGGTATTAATGTCAAGCATGAATGATCTTTACTAGAATTGTCAGATACTAGTAGGTAGATACTACAATATAAATGAGACGAGTCACATTACGCGAGGTACGCCAACTCAAGGCGGTGCCGCAAACAAGGTCTAACACATTCTATAGATCAAAGATAATGTGAGTGAAAGTTGCGTTTACTCTTCATTTTATCTATAACACGGCAGTTGTACTTACGCTTTTAAATCCAAGAATGTTGTTAACGGTTATTTTGAAAGTTGTTTGCATTCGTACACAAGTTCATTGATGGCAAATCTTAACAAAAAACGTAAACATTCAACCTGGAAGCGCCGTTTCGAGGTGAGTCACACTGTTTTCTTGAGTACTACTATATTATTAACGATACGGTTTCACTTTACCATCACTCTTACTTGTCGCGTCGCCAGCTCACGTAAGTTCATTCGATTCGCGTAAGGTGTCGTGTTCCATGCGGCACAGTCAACTTGCAACTAGTCGGTTGGCGCGCCGCCCCACCATCCGGCCCATGGCACAACCTTCGGAGGCTTAGTTTACAAGCTAATGAATACGCTTTTAGGTCAGGTGCGCGATATGCAGTTAAATCATTTATTTAAGCTCACTGCGTATTGCCATTTGTTGCACGGTGTATGTATGTACGAAGAAAACTAGTAGTAGGTGGTTTAAGAAAATATAAAACAGTGGAGATTAATAATTATAAAATATTAATATCTATCATGCCACATGACAGCCCGTCTTAATCATGATCAAAGATCAACCACATTGCCATCATGCCAAATGTAAAAAATGCACAGAAAATGCGTAATTACTCAGATTCGGATGCTTTGTGAACCCGTATGTCCAGTCTATTTCTCTCATACAACTATAATGTGTCCCAGTGGGGATGGTAAGCTTATTCAAATACAATTGAGATTAAAAAATAATCTGTACAGTTTGGCAGCATCATTGTGAAGCGTTCAACATCTAATTAGCTGTGAGTTAGAAAGAACTTTCAATGTCCCACCGATGGAGTGGCCCGGTAGTCGTAGGGCAGACAATCGCAGGTCAGGCGTCTTTATAGGATGTCAGGCCAGACAGATGAGCTACGAACTAATTACTTCACCTTACCTGCCTCGATTGAGTTTTGCTTCATTAAAGTTTCCAACATGGGTTGTTGAAAGATAGAAGATTTTAGTCTTTTGAACACGTACCACAACCCACGCATAGGGAATACGGCGATTTCCTCCTGGCCCAACAAACTTATCCATCTATACATTACGCCAATCTAGGCCTGTTGACCGCTCAGACCCGAGAATCTTATACTACTGTATTCATCCACTGAAGGATACATTTGAGTACAAGATCCCGGCCAACTAAAATAACTACCAACGACCTTACTTAATAGTAGCTTGTCTTGTTCTTTTACCCAACTTTCCCCTAGAACATCTTTTTACTAGTGCTAGTACTAACATACTTGTCTATTTAATAAAACATATCGTCTCTCAAGATGGATAGTTGCATTCAGGTTCTGATGTCCGCAGGCTCCGGTAAGCAGTTGTTAGGCCTTAAGCAGTTACGTCTAGTGGAAAAGGCTTCCAAAAAACTAATACAGTTTTCGTTTCACGAGAAATGCGAGCTACGAATGCTATTGATTTTCTACTTTCAGGTGGATTTTCTACTGAACTTCAAGATGTAACTATTGAATTAGAGTCTGTACTCAGTGACTTCGTCATAACACCTAGGTTTGCAATATACTTAGGCCGTTTACGTTGTATACCTAAGACTAATGGGACTGATTAAGCGTCTTACCTCTTTCGGGCGGGAAGCAATCGTGTTTTTTGGGTTTAAGAAGTAAAACAGCCCTATAAGAATGAAATTAAGACCAAGCTTACTCCTTTATCGATCACGTCGGACATAAGCTCCAACTTACGGTATTTAAATCGTTTTTATTAATTTATGATTTAAACTTATGGACTGTACCTCATCGTGAATAATTAAGACATTAAAACTTAATATTCACTCAGGCATGAAAATCTGATAGATATTCTTATTCTGATAGACATTCTTCATTGTACTGTATGTTAGATACACCAACTTACAGTCTACATGGAGTTGAGGTATAATTATAACCGTCTTAACGAGTATTTGTAAAATTTTAACAATATTAGTATTACTATTGTTCAAATTTTATCTGCGATTTAAATAAATTCATTCGTTGTAAGTACGGGTTATTAAAACAACATATATTACACATTTTTTTATTACATTTTTGTTAATAAAAGTCCACTCAAACTGAACGGAGAACTGTTTCGTACAAATCGCATCGAATGCTTCGCAAATAATTAGGGATGGGGCACACATCGCACCGAACAATTGATTATCTATTTACATATGAAGTTATTTAATTGTTCAATGCATAAATAGCATCTTTGATTATCGAAATTGATGATTAATATATTCATATTTAAACAGAATTTTTTTTTACAATATTTATGGTTAATGTTTTTTTTCTGTTTTTATCGATTCTCAATGGCTCTGTTATATGTTCCCATCAGCGTATACTGCATTAGCTCAATAGTGCGATCCACTCATGTTAAAAAATAACTAATAAAAAAATCCAGTCGAAAGGTCAGTTAAAGTTCATAAATTCCGATATCATCAGTCGTTTTACGATTTGCACTTGGACCTCATGTCGCAAAGTGGATGACGGCGTTCACGTCGTAATGTCTATAGGCTCTGAGAACACTGGATGGACAGCGAGAATGTTCACCCATATAATATGCAATCGAAAATAAACTTTTTTTTTTATTAAGTATGCCCAAAACACCAAGTTACAACAATAGAAGCTTATTCAAAAACTGTTTCCCTTAAGCCCATTTTTTTACGAAACACATAATCTACTGTTACTATTCAAATGGCTTACAGATGTACGTATAAAATTACTTATCGTGTCGATGTGTGCGAGACCCCGCGACTTGTTCACCTAAAAACTAAACGTTTACTTGTAATTGAGCTTTGGTTTACAAATTACGATGCAACTATAACAAAACCATAAGTTTAATGTTAGGGAATCTGTGAGTTTAACGCAGAGGCCGTTTGGTTCAAGCGACAGAAATATTATACAAATTAGGTATATACCTAGCAAATTTTATTTTCTAATTATTATTCTTTAATTAAATTGACATCATAATAATTTAGCCTTTTTTTACAATAAAGATAACTATGAAATGCCGATCAAATAAATTACAGGTTGATCTTTAACCAAAAATATTATACTTTTCTGTCAATAGTGTTGCCATGTTAATCACTTTAACACAAATTAGTTCAGTATAGCCGTCACAATTTATTTTGTTTACTTTTTAACTGATTTCTTACTAACGAAGTTTTTTAACGGATTAAACAACGTTGACAGTTTGTTGAAAACTGTTCTCTTTTCGTAGAACAATGAAATATATCTCGAGCTAAAATAATTGAGACATAAGTAATTAAGTAATTTCATAATTATGGGCAAATAACATTTTAAAAAAAATATTACATAAACATGTTTTTCTTGGCTTTTATTTTATTGCTATTAATCGTTACGACAACGAAACACTTAACGTTCTTTTATATCAACCACACGCAGTAAATAAAAGTTTACCGTACTTTTTATAATGGTACGATTATTTCTCTTCCCGGTACATTTAGTAGTTTGTTTAAATTTATGGCAACACTATAGAATAAATTACCTTGAAGTTTAGCATAGTTTATTTTTTTTATTTTTATTTATTGCTTAGATGGGTGAGAGCGAGGGTGGAAGTAAAAAATTATAACTCGGCTTACATATATTTGCTTCTTTTAAATTATTATTAGATTCCGTAGACAGACAGCTTGGTTCATTCCAAATTATCATTTAAACCAAACGGCATTAAATATAATTCACAGTTTATTTCATTAAATTTTTATACACAGTTCATTTCACATTTGTAAATTTTTTTTTTTTGTTTGTCAATTTGAACAACTTGAAGGAATCGATTACCGTTGTTCATAAAACTCTAATAAAGGATTTTATGAAGTCTTAAGTCGTTTCTGCAATTTGTTAATTTGATTAAACAAAGTATTCGTTTGGAATTACTTCACAATTAAAGACATGAGTGGCTGAAAGGGATATGATACAATTTGTTAATTTTGAGAAAACGGGCAACAAACTTTTGTTGCTTGTACTGTTTCTTCGTACATGGTTTCCTTAATCACATGCAATTTCTAAAAATATATTTTAAATGAGGAGCTTTAAGGTCTAATATTATGGTTTATAGGCACGTAACACCTTAATTCAATGTAAAAACTCAAAAATACTTAGCCCCTTCCTTATCCACTCATGTCTTCAATTATTAATTAATGAACAGTACATCACCAATGAATGCATAGAAACAAATTTCAGTTCATTTGTTAGAATCAAGTAAGTAGACGTTTACAAGTTAGAACATTAAATGATCCTTTTTAGAGAGATAAATTATAAAACAAGTACAAAATAAAACAATATTTTTTACATTTTTTCTTTGCGCTAAATATACAACAAAATACATTTATTTATTACAAAGCTACACGTTGCAACGCTGCCGCGATCGACGACGTACTGAATCGTTTTCCAACAAAATCGCCTTAAATACCAAAATACCGTGTGTCACTTGAGTCGTAACTTATAGGTGATAATCGTAGAGAAAGCGGACAACCAAATCGGATAAAATTACGGATACAGTAAAAGCTCTTTATTCGCGGGGTATATGTTCCGTAAATACGCCGCGAATACAGAAACTGTACTAGAATGGTAACGCGGTAACGCTATGGCGATATCATTTAACAAAATACTTTAGACATAGTTGTAATAAGGTCTATCTTACTTTTTTGTCTTGACGACGCGTTTAGAGTATATTCGATTAGATACCTATTTAATGGAATCCTTATTATCAATGTTTATGTACCAGTGTACCGATTAGATCCGTGAATAAAAAAATTAACCATAAATATAGGAATTGGGTCCCATTCTTTTAATCCGCGAATAGTGGAAACACGAATGAAGGAAGCGCGAAAAAGGACCTTTTACTGTATTTATAAATAAATAAACACACGTCGGTATTTGCTTATTATTACGTGTTACACTTTCACAGATGATAAAAATACTTAAAGCAACGACAAGCATATTTGCCTTAAATAAAGAATAAGAGAAATATTATGTAATTTTTCATTTAAAATTTTAACGTATATACTCATGTTTTTAATTGTTTTGTTGGTATAAAACGATTAGTTTTCCTAATTTGTTTAACTATTGTATGTACAATTAAATTATACAAGTTATTAAAAATGTCATTATTATGAAAAGAAAATGCGCACTGACGTGTTCGCTCCAAAAAATTAATCAAACTCCAAAGCAAGCGTCAATGTACAAATTATATACATAAAACACTGATTTTTGTCCCGTTTTCTCAAGGAATAAACTAAAGAACAAAAATATATCAAATGTTTCAAAA